TCATTGCGAATGTGCTTAACCAGGTCAACAGCATGGTTGAAACCATCTACTTCTTCCTCCCACTCCTCACCGGCAGGATCTGAAAAGAGAACAAATCCACAGCTCTCCAACTATTTGCAGGACTCATATCTGCTAGTTCCATAAATCCTCCTGCTGAAAGGAGGGCAAAGAGATGAAACCCCCACGCTTGCAGTTTTACCCATGGACTGCTTTCGTCTACCCTTGAGCTGGAGGGACTGCCAACAAAGGGATCAGGTGAAATGCAGTCTCAACATTTAATTCCCACAGTGGAAGGAGCCTCTAAATCTTATTTCTTCATTTTTACCCTGAAATTGAATGCAACAGCAATGCAGCTTCAGGAAAAGTATGATAAAAGGATTCACCTCCACGCAACGCCATGATGTTCTTCAACCCAAGCCTCTTGGCCTTCTGCAGATGCCCTGTGATATCATCCCTAGTTTGATTGCAGCATGTCATGTGCAGGATGGTCTCCAGGCCACAATAGTTGACTGCAGTGTTGGCAATAATCATGGAAGAGGTTTCCTTGTCAGATCCCGGATCCCCTGCAGGGTGCCAGGTCACATCAATGAAGAGTGGACCACCTGCTCCCATGCGGTCAAACCTGTGGATTTCAGAGCTGCATTAACCTACCAGGCAGCCAACTCCCCTCTCTATGCCTGGGATATCTTGCTCAGTGTTGGAATGCTAGCAACAGGCAGAGGGAGCTTGGATGACAGCAGCAGGAGAGACTAAGATAAAAGTTGAACTAAGAGCTTAGCAAGTGGCCAGTGTAAATAAGGGAAGTCATCCTTTAAGGTTTTATCAATGTCCTTAAGGAGGCAACTTAAGTGTTCTCTGTACAATAAACTTCCTCCCAGCATGTTCTATTAGACTGGTATGTCTTCTTATAGCCAGCAGTGCAAATCTCATTCCTTTTGAGATGGGAGATTGTGCTGCAACCCCCTGTTCTCAGCTTTAACTGTAGAGGCCACAGATAAGAAAAGATGGACCAGATCTCTCTTGTGTTCCGAAGTGTGCTTAATAGAAGAGACAGAGGCTCCCCTAACTCGCCTCTCTCCTCCTCTGGATTGGAACAGGCCTTTCTGTTTAAAGTAAAACTGGCACTGGTATACAGCAGTTACAGAGTTGTGGAAAAGCCTCTTTTGCCCTTGGTGACTGCATGGTGGCTCCTGGGGATCCCCGCTGTGCTCCAGGATGACCTTTAGCTCTGCTGAGAGCTGTCACCTTTCATTTAGCATGTAGATGGGGACACCTATTCAGAGGCTAAAACTGTAACACAGAGGCACAAACCACAGTGGCTGGATGATCCTGAAAGCCAGTGGTATCTGTTCTACAGACTCTGGCATGCTGCCCATCAAGGAATATTTTCTGCTCTTAACAGGTACTTTTCTGCTCCATTATCCCCCAGCACTCTGCTTCAGCCTGAGCATGACAGTGGGGTTGCTCCACATTCACAGAGCATGGGAGAGGGAAAACAGCCTGGCCCCCTCAGTAATCCCACCAAGACACTTAACTCTGCAGGGGCCTCCAAGGAAGACAAATTACCTGGTGTCCATTACCTTCCTCAGCAGGAAAGCACAGCCCCATTACCTGCTTCGTCACCTGGAAGGGGAGACAGAGCATGGGGCAGAGCCTGCCTCATTAGCTATTTCCCAACCCTCCACCAGACACTTCATCTCTCCTTTCTCCCACCCTGCAGCCCTCACCTGGAGATGAGATTGACAGCAGCATTGGCTGTGCGTGGAGGGAAGAATTCCAGGGAGAACCACTTGTCTCCAGCTTCCTGGCGTCGACGCATCTTCTCCCGCAGCCGCTCATGCCGGTCAGCATCGAGGACAGGGGTGGAGCAGCGCGAGCTGTCCTTGGAGCTCTCGCTCCCACTGCTGCTGCCTCCATCAGACTTGGAGCTGGAGCTGGCACTGCAGCTATGCTGGGTCTCGTTGACCATGGTGAGCTCTCTGGAGGAGGGTCACAGAAGGAACACAGTGGGTACAAGGCAGGACAGAGAGCAAGGAGCAGTTATGGCCAGTGCGGGCAGCAGATAATGAAAAGGAAGCCTATGCCAAGGTCAGATGTTAATCATCACCAAGGAATCCCTTTTGCAAGCCTTCACTGTAAGCTGTAGGGGGGGGAGCTGGTAAAAACATAATTGCAGAGGGTTTTGTGCCACTTTGATGTAGATCTGTGCTTGCTGGGTCAAATTTGGCTCTCAGAAGTCAGGTCAATATCACTTTTGACCTGAGTGCACGATTCTCATTAACTCAGGCCACGCTTCTCATGTGCATCAGGTGGCAGCCTCTTTGATCTTGCAGCCTTGGGCTGGACATGCCAGCAGATACCTGTTTCTTTCTACACCAGCTGGTTCTTGGACTGTGTCCATCTCCAGTTTCCACTATTTGTTCCCAAAACGCAGTGCTTCTTTACAGTGTAGCTAGGAAAGCAAGTGCTAATGGGGAAGGTACACAAGAATGCACAAACTATTCCTATGTCAGAAAGACCCCCTGGAAAAACCCCTCTGATCAGGCCATCCCCACAAATACCATCCTTTGTTTTGTCTTTGCTGGCATCACAGTTGCATTTCTAACCATTGTCCTTCTTCTGCAAGACATACCATCTCCACAGACAATACCACTGCACGCAGTTCTTTCCTTTACCAAGTACACTGTTTATGTTCCTCTTTGTGGCTGCTTGGAAACAAGGTCAGCAGCCACCATCCCCTTCTCCCTGGCTCCACTTAGTTCCCCAAGTGTTTTATCTTATGCCTTTAAAATGAGGTAGTGAATACTAGAAAAAAGCTACCATAAAATTTGCATCTGTATTACTTGTTTCTGTACCTGCCAAAACCTAAACCTGCCACTGGGAAGCAGCATGTTGCTGAGCATTATTTAACACTGGAGCCTGCTTTTGGTTGCACAAGCTAATGTACACTTTGTCCTTATCATATAAGCTCTGCGGGTTTAGGTCATCCAAGGTCTTTGAACTCATCTTTACTGTTTACACTGAGTTCCCAAGCAAGCAAAAGACTACAGGAGAAAGTCTATTTTTATCACCTGGGGACTTCTGCTGGCAGGAGATATGAGAAGGGAGCGCAGGGCTTCTGCTGCCAAGAGGAACAGGGAATCTTAAGTCATAGCAGGTCACAGTAAAAATCAGCACCACAGACCCATTGAGAAGTGAAGCAAGAGCAATGGGGGGTGCACACTAACAGCCCTGACCATGCTCTCTCACAGGACTTTGCCTGCCATCCACGTGGCACTAATCTGGGAGCATTATCCCAAAGCATATGTTGGAGATCGAGATAGTGGTGCAAAACCACACGCAGTCAACTCCCAATATTTCCCTTCCCACAGGCGTGCCATGGCACTAAAGGCAAATCACAGGATTACTGTTCTCCCACTTGAGATTTAAGATTCCCATCACAAGCGAAGAGGTATGAATGTCTCTATAGGGTAACACTTTAGTTGAGGAAAGGGCCTTATCTCACTATCTGAAGCCATAATGACCGGAGAAAGGTCCCGCTTGAATTTTGCCTACAGGCAGCAGTTGGAGCATTTCCTTCCCATCAGATGCATCACAGATTTGCTGGCAGAAGCTTGCAGTTACAAAGCATTTTCTAAACAACAAAACCAGCTGCAAAATAACACATTCTGAAACCCCCTTGAGCCCCACTGGCTCAGTGCTCCTGTTCCTGTCTCTGCTACACTGCAGCGCTCAGAGCAAGAATCTATGATCATCACCCCGATCTATGCTCAAAGATCTATGCTCAGCACTCCGATCTATGCTCAAAGTTCTGTGCTCAGCACCCCGATCTATGCTCAAAGATCTATGATCAGCACCCCGATCTGTGCTCAAAGATCTATGCTCAGCACCCCGATCTATGCTCAAAGATCTATGATCAGCACTCCTATCTGTGCTCAAAGATCTGTGATCAGCACCCCGATCTATGCTCAAAGATCTATGCTCAGCACTCCGATCTGTGCTCAAAGATCTATGCTCAGCACCCCGATCTATGCTCAAAGATCTATGCTCAGCACCCCGATCTGTGCTCAAAGATCTATGCTCAGCACCCCGATCTATGCTCAAAGATCTATGATCAGCACCCCGATCTGTGCTCAAAGATCTATGATCAGCACTCCTATCTGTGCTCAAAGATCTGTGATCAGCACCCCGATCTATGCTCAAAGATCTATGCTCAGCACTCCGATCTGTGCTCAAAGATCTATGCTCAGCACCCCGATCTATGCTCAAAGATCTATGCTCAGCACCCCGATCTATGCTCAAAGATCTATCCTCAAAGATCTATGCTCAGCACTCCGATCTATGCTCAAAGATCTATGCTCAGCACCCCGATCTATGCTCAAAGATCTATGATCAGCACTCCGACCTATGCTCAGCACCTCGATCTATGCTCAAAGATCTATGCTCAGCACCCTGATGCTGATCAGCGCAGATGTGCCTGTTGCGTTTATGTGATGGTGGTCCCCCTTTACTTCGCTGTAGGGCACTTTCACCGCTCTTACACACGCACTGTTGCGATCGGCATCCTCCCAGGCTCAGCTCCCCCACCCGAGCTGACCTCGGCTGCAGGAGGTGCGCTTCACATGGCGCGGGGCCGGGGTACCAAGATGACAGCCCTAAGCCCGCGGCTGGGTCTGCCGCACTGCCAAGGGGGCGGCGGACGGGACAAGGCTCGGCCATGGGAAGGCTGGAGGGGAAGGGGAAGAGGAGGGTCCTGCCGCCGGGGTGCAGGGGTGGGGGTCCCCCTCGCCGCAACCAGACTGGGTGCCGCTGCCTCCCGCTGCCCGCCCCAGGCCCCGCTCACCTGCCGGTGGTGCTGGGCGGTGCTGGGCGGCCCCATCCCGCTGCGCTTTAAACGGGGCCGGAGCAGGGCGCGTCCCACGGCACCGCCCCGCGGTTCCCCTGCTCCGACATGGCGGAGCCAAGACCTCAGCCGCGCCGGAGGAGGCGGGGCCAGGGCCAGGCCAGCCCAGGCCGCGGCGGAGTTACGCGGTGCGGCGGGTGGAGCCGGGAAGGGGCGGTGGCGAAGGAAGATGGCGGGATGCGGGTCCGGGTTGTGCTGCTGCTGCTGCCCGCGCTGCTGCGGCGAGCGGGAGAGCCGCACCCCCGAGGAGCTGGTACGGCCCCGCGGCACCCCCACACCGAGCCTCGGTCCGGCCCCACGGAGTGCCTGAGAGCGGGCGGCTGGGGAGGGGGGGGGCGTAGCTACGGTGCCTCCGGCCCGGGTGCCGGTGCCTCAGGGCGCGGTACCTCAGCCCGTGCTTGGCCCAACCCCTCGGGGTCCGGTGCCTCATCCCTGGTGCCGACGCCTCAGGGTCCGGTACCTCAGCCCGTGCTTGGCCCAGAGCCTCAGTGCCTCACGGCCTGGTGCCTCAGCCGACGCTCAACCCGGCCCCTCAGCCCGTTCCCGCTCTTCTGCCTCATATTGGGCCCGGTACCTCAGCCGCTTCTCCCAGTGCCTCAGCCCGCGCTGTCCCAGTACCGCAGTCAGCGTTTGCTGTGGCAGGGCCTGGTGTCAGCCCCTTGCAGCCCTCAGGGAAGGGGCTCTGGTGGGGCTCTCTCCAGCTGCCCGGCACAGGAGAACGCTGTGTATGCAAGTTTCTGGGCCTGTGCTTCCCTGTAAGGGAAGCTGGGATGGGTTTTAGTACTGCTCTGCCTTAATGTGCTGTGGGGACCTCCTGTATGGACGTGATGTGGTGTGTACTTGCTGAGGGGCAGGCTTTAAGGTGAGACCCTATACGTAGGCAATGGTCTGGTAGCCCATCCTCGTGACTTTATAAGCCATAATGGTATAGGTCTTCCTTAATTCTGGTTTTGTACCAGTGGTATGAGTGTCTGTGCATGCTTTTGTTTTCCTCATGATTTTCCTTTCCCGTGTTTGTTTTGCAGACAATCCTAGGGGAAACTCGTGAAGAGGAGGATGAGATCCTTCCACGCAAGGACTATGAGGTGGGAGTTAAACTGATAACAGCAGGCAAAACGCATGTGTAAAGAACCGCAGACAGGTTGTGGTCAGTTGGAGTTTGTAGCGAGGCGGGTACTCAAAGTGCATCACCAGTTAGATTGCATTGGCATCAGCAGAAATACCAAGAGTTGCTGTGTTTGCAAAGAACTGCTCCTTACATGTTTCTGGGTCAAAGCTCTGGGGGTGGAGTTTGAGTGTCCATGGCTCAAGTCAGCCTCTCGTTGAGGAAATCCATTTTCAGAGCCTGCTGCGTTGTTCTGCTTCTTAAATGTGGGATTTACAGGCTCTGTTGGTCTTGTTTCCTCATGGCTGTAGGAAGCATCTGTTGCTGCTTGGTCACTGTTGCCTTATGCAGGCTCTGTTATGCTGGCTCACAGCAGATCCTGCTTCTTACAGGAGATTTTTGCTTTTTGCATGTCTGTAGTGACAGGACAAGGGGTAACGGGTTCAAACTGAAACAGGGGAAGTTTAGATTGGATATAAGGAGGAACTTCTTTACTGTAAGGGTGGTGAGGCACTGGAATGGGTTGTCCAGGGAAGTTGTGAATGCTCCATCCCTGGCAGTGTTCAAGGCCAGGATGGACAGAGCCTTGGGTGCCATGGTTTAGTGTGAGGTGTCCCTGCCCGTGGCAGGGGGTTGGAACTGGATGATCTTAAGGTCCTTTCCAACCCAAACTATTCTATGAATCTGTAGTGGCCCTGAGCTATTTAGAGCAGTTGCTGTTCACATGGGTGTCAGCAGCTCAGCCTTTTACTGCTTGGCTTGAAAGGGTGAAGTTGATGTAGATTGAAGCTAGTGGTAGCTTGTGAATATGACTGGGCAGCTCTATCTTGCTTTAAACTCTCAGCTGGAGAGAAAATCCTGTGTAGTATTTGTGTTGTAGTGAGAGGTTAAATATAAAGATGTAATGTTTATCCCCTGCACTATCAGATTGGAGGCACTTAAATAAGTAAAGTCTAAATCTGTACAATGTGATTTCTTTAGCTTAAAGTTGTTTTAATAAGTCATGTTCCTGTTTGGTTCCCTGTCTCTCTCAGCTGGGGCAGTGAAATTGGTCTGTTCTTCCACTTTGTGGTTCTTAGGGTCTTGTTCTGCTGGAAATATTTAATTGATGTTGTTTCCAGGAGTTTTTTCTCCTCCTGTTGTCTGCACAACCGACTGTGGGGGTAGTAATGACTTCTGCAATGTCTAACAGGATCTTCTATCCATAGTTTTTTGCACAATCTGTTGTAGCATTTTCTCTTAAATTGACCTTTTGGCATTCTTTCAGAGCTTGGATTATGATCGTTGTATCAATGACCCATACTTGGAAGTTTTGGAGACCATGGATAACAAGGTAGGACTTTGTTCTTTCTCTTTCATTTCCTTGAGAGCTAAAACTAGAAATTACCCAGGGAAGTTGTGACTGACCCATCCCTGGCAATGTTCAAGGGCTGGTTGGATGGGGCTTGGAGCAACCTGGAATAGTGGAAGGTGTCCCTTCCTATGGCAGGGGGTTGGAACTGGATGAGCTTTAAGGTCCATTCCAACCCAAACCATTCTGTGATTCTAAATATGTTCCACTGAAGGAAATTTTGTGGATGTTTTTCTTCTTTATGAAAGTAATTCTATGTGCTCTCTTGGTTTATAAAAAGAATAAAAATATGTATGGAGATGGTAGCTCCCAGCATCTGTTCTGATCCTCAGGTTTAAAGTGAGCAAGATGTTCGGTACTTTTAGTTCCCTATCTTCAGTTTTCTGTTGTTACCATCTTCTGTTGATTTATCACTCTAGCAGGAATTAAGCTGTGGAACTCCAAAATGCCTTTCTCTGATCCCCATTTCTATATTGCTTTGATTTGGCTCATGGTTTTTTTTTTATTCTCTTCCTAAACAGAAAGCCCAGAGATACGAAGCAGTGAAGTGGGTGATGGTTTTTGCTATTGGAGTCTGCACAGGACTGGTAAGGGTCGTGGTGTTTGGGGAATGAGGAAAATTCAGGAGACTAAGCAGGCATAATTTAGAAGTCAATGGCTGAGGAGTCAAGAGAAGAAAACAATCTTTTATGAACTGGAGAGCTTAGTAGCTAGAGTTGTCTTTTGGGAATTACAGCACGTTGTTGCTAGATTATTATCCAGGAAGCCTTTTTGGTTTGTTTGTTTTAGAACTTGCTGTGCTTTCTTTGTAAAGTATTTTGGCAAATCCTTTTATCTTGCATACAAGAAAACCTGTCCAAAGTGAGCACCTAATAAAAAGATGCTAATTTGCAGTTGGACAGTATGGTTAGTATGTTTGTCAGCACTAGTGACACTGCATGTACTTTTTAGAGTGTTTAAACATTAGCTCTGCTGAGCGTATGCCTCAGTTAAACGCCAGCTTTCTTCTGTACCCTGGAATATGTTGTGGGTGTTAAAAATGCTGCCAGATTAGCACTCTGAAATGCATTCCTTCGGGAATAACTCTAGGAGGGATCTGTCCTGGTGTGAGAATGAGGGAGGCAGCAAATCTGAGCTTCCAGAGTTACTCTACTCTGAACAACACTTCTTTTGCCTTCTTCATTCTTTGTCCTCCTATGTGTGCATACTTCTGGTAGGACTTACTAGAGGGTGGTCTTTGTTACTTGTATGTAGTAGTTTCTGATGACAAATGTGTCTTCTTTTCCATAGGTGGGTCTTTTCGTGGATTTCTTTGTACGGCTCTTTACCCAGCTCAAGTTCCAGGTGGTACAAAGCTGTATCTTTTACCCAGTGTGTGGGTTCCTGCTAGGCTCAAGTGACCTTTTCCTTTCTGTTGCTGTTCTGCTCAGAAAAGCTGACTCTCAGACTTCTGCCATCAGTCACATTGATGATTAGTCAAGTTTTTAACTTGGCTCTGTAATTCAGCCCTTGAAACCAAGAATGTTTCCACTATTGTGTACACAGGCAAAGGCTAATCCCTGAAAGAATGAGTGGTTTCCCTTCCTTGTACTTTAGGTAAGCTCTGAAAATGAAGCCTGGCTTCCTGGTGAGTTGTGTCAGAGGCCCTGGCTGGTTTAGCGGGTTTGGCTCCTGGTGCCAGTGGGATCCCCAGACAGTACTCAATGATTGCTTGTTGCTGGGGGGAATGTTGTTGTTTTCCATGACCATCCCTGCAGCGGTGGAAGAATGCACTGAGAAAGGCTGTCTTGCATTGTCCTTGCTGGAGCTGCTGGGGTTCAACCTGACCTTCGTTTTTCTTGCCAGCCTTCTGGTTCTGATCCAAGTAAGTCTTAGGTACACTGCTGCTACTTACACAGCCTCCCTTTCCTCTCACATAGGTCCTGGGTATGAAGTATTCTTCTTGCTGGAAGCACTGTCTGCCCCAAGACACCAAACTAGCTTCTCAGTGCTGACTGACATAGCTAAGCAGGATCTCTCGGTCCTTTGCTGTGCTCTCTGATGACACATTGTTGATCAGCTATGAAATCAATGCAACACAACATCAGTGTTTTTTTTCTACAGCCTGTAGCAGCTGGATCAGGAATTCCTGAAATCAAGTGCTACCTCAATGGGGTAAAGGTTCCAGGGGTTGTGCGTCTCCGGACAGTGGTGTGCAAAGCTATGGGAGTGCTCTTCAGCGTGGCAGGAGGTATGAAGGGCTGTGGTGTATCAGTCTTGTTGGGAATCACTGAAGGGGAAAAAGTATGTCCTTGCTGTACATAGGGCACAAAAGGCTTCTCCCACCTTTCCAGTAAAATGATTTTAATGGGCTGGAGTAGAGTCATGAGCCCTGAATGCATATATATAGAGTAGAAAATAGAAGGATCAGGACTATCAGGGGAACTGTTCTGGGTGGGCTAGTCAGAAGTGACTCTTTGTGGTTCAGTCTTTGAGGGAGACATGAGAATTCTCCAGAACACATGGTCTGGAGCAGCCTGAAGGAGGTTAGTTGTGGGCAGCAGGGCGTAATAACTTTGAGAGTTCAGAGGCCTTGCACCAGCTGGCTTGGAATGATTCCACCCACTTGGAGCATAAAGTCTGTGCATATCTTCACAAACATCTGGGGGGGCTGAGGGGCCAGGGGTCAGCACTTTTTTGCACCTTGAGGGGAGACTGAGGAGCACAGGGGCATGGAGGTGGTGAGCTGGTCTCTCTTGGCAGTCAGCAAGGGAGGGCGGCAGCAGGGCCAGGGGGAACACATTGCCTCATTAGTCCTGTTTTTCCAGGTCTTTTTGTCGGGAAGGAGGGTCCAATGATTCACAGTGGTGCTGTTGTGGGTGCGGGTTTGCCACAGGTTAGTGCTGGCCTGGGTCACTGGCTTTGTAAGAGTACTGTGAGGATTAAGTTTCCATCCTCTCTGTTTCTAAATCTTTTCTTTGTTTGTAGTTCCAGAGCATCTCTTTGAGGAAGATCCAGTTTAACTTCCCTTATTTCCGCAGTGACAGGTACTGTATCCAGGATGTGGAGGAGGGGACAGGAGGATGAGTGAGCAGACTTCCTTGGGAGAAGGGATGAATCAGTCAGTAGTAGTTTCAATCTGTCTAGTGCCCTGCAGTTTCATTCTGCAGCAAGACAACACCAGGACTTGACTCTTCCATGCTGCTCTGCTCTGTCTCCATGTTCACTGACGTTCTTGTCTACTACACAGCAAACCTCTACCCACTTAAAGCCTTTAACCTGAATGGTTAAATGGCTTCACTGTTGGGAACAGGCTCAGTTACTCACCTGTTGTGGCCAAGATATACTATGGAGAAGGCTCATTTACCTGACTGAACAAAATATTGCCCTTCCCTCTGTCATTCTTTCAAGTGATACTGGAATTTCATAGTTTGGAATGGTTCCTTATATATGGGTATATGTGTAGTGCCAGAGTTTTGCTCTTTGTTGGTGCTGTAGAGAAAGCATGATGCTGTAGCAACTTGCTGAATAAGTCTTGCTGCCATGGCCAGCACTTCTCCCAGCTGTCACTCCTGTAACCCTGGGATATATCCATAAATGGGAATGGTCTCTTACTTTGCAGAACCTAAGCACCTCCAGAGCTCTACTATGCTAAACTGGGACCATTTCCCTCTTTGTTTCAGGGATAAAAGGGATTTTGTATCTGCGGGAGCTGCTGCAGGGGTTGCTGCTGCCTTTGGAGCACCAATTGGGGGCACTCTTTTCAGCTTGGAAGAAGGTTCTTCTTTCTGGAACCAGGGACTTACATGGAAAGTGGTGAGTAGTGACTCTCTTTCTGTGTGTCTTTTCCTTGAGCTAGACATTTGGGGGAGGTCTTCTCTGTGAGAGTGTTCAGATTATCCTGTCTTGCCCCTGAGCTGTCATGGCAGGAGAAAGATCGCCTGCTCTATCAGTGCTCCAGAATTACTACAGATGAGTACTACTAGCAGAGATGAGTCTGGTACTATGATACTAGATGAGTTTGGAGCAATGGGACAACTCTGTGGGCAGCACATACAGTGTACCTGGGAGAAAGGGCTGTTGTGCCTGGGCTCTTGGCTGTCCCATCGTTTGGGAGCAGACAGAGTAGGCAGGTGCTGGATTTCTTTCTGTTTTTCTCTGCATTGGGGAACTGTATTGCAGCAATTCCCCATGCCTTCAAGTTGCAGATTTTCTCTTGCCTGCTGTTAGAAAGTTGACAGTATATTAAGAAATGTGTTGGATTTCAGGATGCTTTTGGCATTACACCTAACATCTTGTTGCTGGGATTCAGTTAGTCTACTCTTTCTCAGCAGGGGTAAAAGAAGCCAGGGGATTTGCCAAGATAGCAACACTCAGAGCCACTGAAGAGCTCAATTCCAACTCCAGACATGATGTGTTAATTGATGCTTGTAATTGATTAGCAACTGCAAATTAACATATTTGACTAAAGAGAGCTTTTGCTGCAAGAATTACTAGGTGAAATTCCTAACTCCTTGTGCAGGAAACCAAATCATATGGTTATAGTAGTCCATCCATTCTAGCCCTGCTCCCTTTTGCACTAGGGGATGGGTGTTAAACCTCAGTGTATTATTTTCCTAAAGCCTAAGAAGGCTCTGAGGTTCCCTTCCCCAGGTGTAAGTCTCAAGGAAGAGCTGACTGTGCCAGTCTTAATTCTGGGAATCTTTACTTCTTTTTTATACTACCTCAGCTTTTCTGTTCCATGGCTGCCACCTTCACCCTGAATTTTTTCCGCTCTGGGATTCAGTTTGGAAGTTGGGGGTCTTTCCAGCTCCCTGGGCTGCTGAACTTTGGGGAGTTTAAGGTAAGACTTAGTGCTTTTTATTTCGTATACCCCTCCAGACTTTTGTCGGTTCAGTGTTTCTGTTATTTGGGTTTCGTTTTTTTTTGATACATGCTTCTATTTCATTGATGGGCAGTTGATATTTAGCTGCGGTAGATTGATAACCTACAACAGAATTGTTCCCCTGTGGTCATAGCTGCTAAATCTCCTGTTGTGGAGACAGAAGCAGTTGGAAATTGCAGCAAAAACTAATGCTTTTTTAATCCTTTTCTGCACGTAGTGCTCTGAGTCTGATAAGAAATGCCACCTGTGGACAGCTGTGGACTTGGGCTTCTTCATTCTGATGGGGATTGTAGGAGGCCTTCTTGGTGCCACCTTCAACTGCCTGAACAAGAGACTTGCCAAGTACCGCATGCGGAATGTGCATCCCAAGCCAAAGCTGGTCAGGTATTTGTGCTCTGTTGAGTTGTTGCAGGAATCTGACCTCTGTTCAGAATCTAGAAGACCCAGTGAGTGCGGTGGGAGAAAATCCCAGACCTATTCTTTTGAAGTCACCAAACTCCATAGAACTTAAAAGTGAACATCAGAAACCAGATGTTACAGTCCCTGTGCGTTTTTGTAATTACTCTGGTGGTACGGAGAGAGCTGCAACTCCCCTTACAAGGCTGTGAAGGGAGGTCTTTATTATAAAGGCTATAGCTGAACAAGACAGAGCTTTTTCTCTATGCAGTATCTTTTTATGTCTTGACCAGACAGATGTGGAAGCAAGAGATGATGCCATTGTTTAAATCTACATCTGAGCTAATATCTGTGCTATTTAGAAGGAGTTGCTGTGTCATTGTGGAAAATAGCTGGTTTTGCTCAATTCTTAAATAAGAAGTCCAGGTTTGAAAAGAAAACCCCAACAAACCCCAGAAGTGTATGTCAGCAGTTAGAAAAGTGATTGTGAGATGATGCATCAACCTGTCCAGTCCTGTCTTAGCCTTTTACCCTGTAAGGATCTACAGACCATTGTTTCCATGTGAACAGTCTCATGACTGAACCCTTCCCCATGGCTTTTTAATATGTGACTGCTGTGTGTTCTCTGGGCAGAAATAGCTCCTTTTTGGGGCAGGCAACTAAAAAAGGGAGCTAACAATATCCCTGGCAACCAAGTCACGATTCAGCTTGACTTGCAGAGTCCCCTGCTTCTGATGTTCAGTTGAGGTAACTGCTGCTTCTTGCAGCTTTACCAAAGTCATATGCAGGGCTGGGACTTGGTTACAAGGCTGAGTGTGTCTTCAAGTGTATGGTTTCTATTATGTATTTGCAGAGTCTTGGAGAGCCTGCTGGTGTCATTGACTACCACAGTCGTGGTCTTCGTAGCCTCCATGGTTCTGGGGGAATGCCGGCAGATGTCTTCCACTGGTCACAGTGGCAATGACACTCTGAACCTGCAGGTAAGGCATCTTATGTGAAGATTATACATTGCTATCATCTTGTTCACCCTCCAGACAAGCACAGGTACATAATGAGCTTTTGGCAGCATGCAGTACGTAACAGAACTTCAGTGAAAGCCCATGGACAGTTGCAGGACCTTAGGGTAGTCATGAAAACTACCCTTTGTGCTTTTGGACTTTGGGAAAGCAGCTCAGGCTGTGATTTGGGGATCCCACTGATTCTTCAGGCCCCATCTCTGTTATTGGTGTTCAGTCTGAGCTTTCCAAAGCATGGGCTGACATCCCTATACAGCAGAGTTACTTCCATTCTGCCCAAAGGCTAATATAGAAGAGAGTGGATTCTAACTGTTCCTGGTCTTTTGTGTCCTGCATTAGGGTATGTCAGAGGATGTGAATTCAAGCATTAAAACTTTTTTCTGCCCAAATGAAACCTACAATGACATGGCCACACTCTTCTTTAACCCTCAGGAGTCAGCTATCTTGCAGCTCTTCCACCAGGATGGTGAGTAGCTAAGAAACAGTGTCCCATCCCATGCTTAGGCTTCAGAGCTTCATCTTGCTTGAAACAAGATTCATAAGAACCACTAGGCTCAGAGCACTTCAGGCCTTCATGGCTTTAGTGGACTGCTAGCACAACAGGTGAAAGCCTTCTCCATGGGAAGAAAGCCTTGCTTTTCCTCTCTTTTTCACTTACTCATTTTCTTCATGTGTGTTTGGATTGGGAGATGAAGTAGCTGTTGTGAGATGAGCCTGCTGTGAGCTGAGGGGTGGATGGTGCAATACTACTGTCTCTGTCTGGCAGACCTGTGCCCCTTTAGTCATGATTCTTCTTGTGTTGCAGGTACTTTCAGCCCAGTCACACTGTCCTTGTTCTTCCTTCTCTATTTCTCACTCTCCTGTTGGACATATGGGATCTCTGTGCCCAGTGGTCTTTTTGTGCCATCACTGCTTTGTGGGGCTGCCTTCGGACGCCTGGTCGCCAACCTCCTCAAAAGGTGCATTGTGTGTGTGTGTTTGAGAGAAGAGAGATGTGCTGCAGGCACACACTGAGATCTCAGGGTGTTCTAATCTTCAGGCTCTGTGTTTTGCTCTAGCTACATTGGCCTGGATCACATCTACTCGGGAACTTTTGCACTGATTGGGGCAGCAGCATTCCTGGGAGGAGTGGTCCGCATGACTATCAGCCTGACTGTCATCCTAATTGAATCCACCAATGAGATCACCTATGGGCTCCCCATAATGATCACCCTCATGGTGAGTGTAGAGTCTTAGCTCTGGCTTCTTGCAGGTTGCTTGAACATGCACTGTGCCCGAGTCTCTGTTCCTTCAAGGGCTATGATAAGTCAAGGAGTTGTTCTTGGAGCAACAACTCAGTAGACCTTGTGTTTGCTCTGCAGGTAGCCAAATGGACTGGAGACTTTTTCAACAAAGGCATTTATGACATCCATGTGAACTTGCGAGGAGTGCCTCTGCTGGAGTGGGAAACCGAGGTGGAAATGGATAAGTAAGGCTGCTCCTCTTGGCAGTGGGTTGGAGTTTGTGGTAGGGTTCTTACTCAAAGGAATGCTGTAATGCAGGGGGGTGGTGCTTCATCTCCAACAAACCTGGCTGCTCTGAGAGGAGCAGCTGGGAGAGGAGTTGGGAGTTGTGCATTGGGCCTGTGGCAGGAAAGAGGTTCTGGAGCCATTTCTGAGGAGGAGTGGATGGGTGGAGATCTAAGGAGTAGATCCATGAGGTTCAGCATGATATCTGAAAGTGTCCCACTGGACTTTCCTTCTTGCAGAATTCCATCTTCTTCCCAACTGTTGTTGTTTTCCAGTAGTGTTTAAACACTTTCTATGCCATAAGTTGGAACCTTTTTCCTTGCCAATAGTGCATCACTGATGCACTGTTAAAAGTCAGGTCAGTTGTGCCAGCACTGCTAGTAACACAGTAAAGATGAGCACATAGGTACAAGGAGCTGGCAGAACTGTACTGCAGCAGAATCCTTTAGGATCTCCTTTTGGGACTAGTTTGTTTCCTTGTTTGTCCATTACCAGCCTTTTGTCACTGACATGATGCATGCAACAATCTTGAATTTCTTTCCCTGCAGACTACGAGCCAGTGACATCATGGAACCCAACTTGACCTATGTCTACCCACACACCAGGATCCAGTCCCTTGTCAGCATCCTGCGCACAACTGTCCATCATGCCTTCCCTGTAGTGACTGAGAACCGGGGCAACGAGAGGGAGTTCATGAAGGGAAATCAACTGATAAGTAATAACATCAAATTCAAGGTAAAAAGAAGTTTTTGATGAGTTGAAGGTGAAGAGCTTTGTTTTACAGGTGGAAGGCCCTTTCTTTTGTTATCTGTGCCTTTGTCAGTGCAGAATTCAGGTCACAGATAAGCACCTACTGCAATACAAAATTTTCAAGGGCTCGGTTTCATTCCATTGTCCATGTCATGGTAAAGGCAGAAGTGAGCTGCACTCCCAGAGGCAAAAGTTAAGACTTACCTGTTTAGGATAGACATAGAAAACGTTTCGATTTGTTACTGAAGTACCGAATCCACCACTGAGATCATTAGTAGGTGCCTAAATGCTTCTTCCCTTTGTAGAAGGGGTAGCGGGACAGATGCTTTAGTCCCTTGGGAAACTTAAAAGTTTAAGGTCAGAATGAATAATAAACATGCTTATGGCATGCTCATGCCCTAGCAAAAAAGGGTGCCTGAGTTCTTAAACTTCACCTTGTGTCCAAGGACAGTACAGTCCTGCTGGCTATTCTCACAAGTACTGCGGCAGCACTAGGGAGCACCTTACCTGTTGTCATACAGCTATGAACAGATAGTTCATAGTTGCTCTTGGATAATTGTTAACCTGCTTTATATCTGCAAATTGTTTGCTGCATGCAGAAATCCAGCATCCTCACCCGAGCCGGAGAGCAGCGCAAGCGCAGCCAGTCCATGAAGTCCTACCCCTCGAGTGAGCTGCGTAATATGTGCGATGAGCACATAGCGACGGAGGAGCCACCAGAAAAGGAGGATCTGCTGCAGCAGATGCTAGAGAGAAGGTGAGATCCTGGTAGGCACAGGCGTATGGGAACAGGGTGTTTCTATATGTTGAGATGCGATGCTTCTTGCAGTCCCTGTCATTCCATATATCAAAGGAAACAGTGCTACTATCCATGGGAAAAGACTTCTTAGCAGGGCCTGTTGTGGTAGGACAAAGGATGATGGTTTTAAACTAAAACAAGGACATTTAGGCTGGATTTGAGGAAATAAATCTTTACAGTGAGGGTGGTAAAAGCCTGGCACAACTTGCCCAGAGAGGTGGTGGATGCACCATCCCTGGAGATATTCCAGGCCAGGCTTTATGTGGTTCTGGGCAACCTGATCTAGATGAAGATTTCCCTGCTCACTGCAGGTGGGTTGGACTGGGGAAGCTTTGAAGGTCGCTTCCAAACCAAACCAAACCATTCTATGATTTTAGGTTTTAGGAGAAGGGACTTGTCAGGTCTCATCAGCCAGTGCTGGGGCTCACACTTGTGACTGAGTCTTAATGACTTGATGGTAGTGTCCAACCTGTTAACTTAAATTCCTTTCAAACACCTATCTGAAAACATTTCCTGGGGAAATGTCTTGTCTGTAGAAATCCATGGCCTCTTGTCTGTAGAGAACTGAGAGCTCTACAAAGCTCACTTTTCCCAAGAGAGGAGTTAATGACCTGGTGCTGTAATGTTGATACCACTTTCCTGTAACTGGGCTGTGTCACCAGGCTTATGTTGCAGTTACGTCCAAGCAGAAGCCCAGTCCAGTGAATCAGTTAATCACCTAGTGATTGTAACTGTTACGAGTAGGGTCCTGACCCTGATGTTTTCCCAGATGCTTCAGCTTTTATTAGAATCTGAATATTTTGGCACTGGAAATTGCTCTAGTAGCAAGAGATTTGAATTTGAGAGTTGTGAGACTCTATCCTGCTGCTGTTATCACACTCTGCTGATGCTAATGGGTCTTGATCCCTCTCTGCTATTTTGTTTCATGGAGAAAAGGCTTGCTTGTCACTAGTAGGCGTCCCAGAAATGTTCAGGAGAAGGTTGCAAAGAGCTGAAGTAGCTGTTGCTTTGGAGGCAGGGGTATATGTTTCTCCTTAAGTTCATGCATCTTGTAACATGCAGTGTTAAATCTGCCACAGATACACTCCCTACCCCAACCTGTACCCTGACCAGTCTCCCAGTGAAGAGTGGACCATGGAGGAGCGCTTCAGACCGTTGACCTTCCATGGCTTGATCTTGCGCTCACAGCTGGTCACGCTCCTTGTCAGGGGGGTTTGTTACTCCGAGAGCCAGTCGGTGAGTCTTCCTCATCAGGAGTTGTAGCAGAGACATCCCTACCCTCCCAGCTGAGAAGGCTGGGAGCAGTATGTATGGGCTGCAAAAAAGAGTATACCTATTTTTACACTTTAAGGAATGCATCTGTGTGTTAAAAGCTGCAGATGTGTAATGTGAATTCTCCTGGCAGCTCTAGAATAAAGAGACTTGAATTTCTGTTTAAGTATCCCAGGAAAAGAGGACAGCTACTGTTTAAGAAATAAACAGGCCCATTTGTGGCATAAAGGTGCAGTCCTGTCAGAGCTGGAGAATGGAGGACAGATATCAAATACAAATAGAGCAACTCGCAGTGTACGCTGCATGTTCTTAACTCCTGTGTGCCAAGGTCTTACCAGAAGTGTCAGCTGTATCACTGAAATCAGCAGGAGCATTTGTAATTGAGGCCCATCTGCAAGGCTGATTTGTTGCTGCCCTCCAGCGTGGAGTGTAGATCTGTCAGAGTTTGGAGAGCAGACCCATTGCTCTATCAGCTAAGTGCCTGCATAGGTTTGGGCTTGCACTGCTGCATTCTGAGATGAGCTGCTCTGAGTACCTCTGCAGATGTATGTGTGGGCATGGGGGGATCTGGGTGAGCAACTGGGAGGAATCATTTGCTGTGCTGCTTGCAGCCCATGTACTGTGTGGGATGGTGACACATCAGCTCAGTGGGATTTGTTTTAAATGCAGAGTGCAAGTCAGCCTCGTCTGTCCCATGCAGAGATGTCTGAGGATTATCCCCGTTATCCAGATATCCATGACTTGGACCTCACATTGCTGAACCCTCGCATGATAGTGGTAAGAGATGCACTGCAGCGTGACAGTGTTTCCTAACAGATGTTTAGGACTGTCTCAAGCCTTTAGAAAAGGCTGAGAGCACATTTAAGTCCACCCCTGGGTGCAGTGACCAACATCCTGTACTTCTCATGCATTCAGTCAGCTTTGTCTGCAAGTCAGTCCTCATGCCTGCTGTGAGGTAACATCTCACAAAGGTGCTTAACTTCCAGAATGAAATGTTGCCTGTCTAGGTTAACTTCCTTCTATTTTATACTTCTGGCCAGGCAAACTGCTGCTGTTTGTAACTCCATGTGCTGGCAGCTCAGCCAGTGGCAGGCCTGTCATTGACTTTGTGACAGGAAGGTTGCTGTGTAAGCCAAAGTGCTTTTTTAATATACATTCTTATTTTCCTGGGCCTGCATTTATCCTGCTCAGAGGCTTTCTGCAGCATTGGGCTCTTAAGATCCTGGGTTACAGTGTTCAAGCAAACCATGAAAAATTCATGTTCCTGAAATAATTTGGTATTTGTGGAGAAATAGAAGATGCCCCCTGTCTGGTACCCTGCCCAGAGATCAGTGCGTTGGAAGACTTGCAGGAATTGCTTGTTAGTGATTCCTAGAGATAGTGAAAATGCCTCTTGTAAATAACATAATTGTTTTTTCTCTCTCAGGATGTCACCCCATACATGAACCCATCACCCTTTGCTGTCTCTCCAAATACACATGTGTCACAAGTCTTCAACCTGTTTAGGACAATGGGACTCAGACATTTACCGGTTGTGAATGCAGTTGGAGAGGTAAGTCCTGGTCTCCATTTTCTCTTGGCAAAGCAAGGAAGCCACTGTGGCTTATGCAATGTCTTCCACCTTTGGGAGAATTAAGATCTCTTAACATCAAAGAAAAATGCTTTAAAGAGATCAGAATGTGATGATCTTAAGACCCTGAAGCATTCTTGATTACTGTGTCTCTGTTACCATGTTTGTGTCCATGCTTCCTGCCTTCCACACACAGTCTCAGGCTGGCAGCATGTGGAAGCTTTTACTGTCTTGTACCTATTGAGAGGCCTTGAGCTCATCAGAGGCCACTCATTTGGGTTCCTCTTTGTCAACTTTATTCAAGGCCAAAAGCAGAATTTCCTTCACATTGGGGCAGGGGGTTTTTCTGCTAGAAGGGAACTTGCATTGTGTCCGTACTCATGGGAGCAGCAGAACAAAGGAGTTGTTGAACGGGTTGTTCTCGATTCACTTGTCTTTGCCATCTACAATGCTCAGGAACGGTCAGTAGGTGTCAGCAACTTCCTATAAACAGTGGGAAACTCCTTTAAGCCTGAACTGGTCTGTGCATGAGACAGCAGTGTCTTTTCTACCTCTTGAGGGTTGCCAATAGCTACTCTGCAGAGTGTGCTGCTTGAATACACGAGATGTTGACTCTTTCCGTGTTTAGCATATGATGCTGTTGCAGTGCTAGAGAGCAGCCTAGTTCTAAACTCTTTCAATGTGTAAAATCACTGAGGTGTTTCATCAGCTGGAACATCTGGCTTGACTGTTCCCCCAGTCTGGGGAGAGGGTCCGTTTTGTGACCTGCCAGCTGGTGATGGCCAGTGTGCAGTCACCACTTAGCTAGCCTTTACCGTTTCTCTGTTGTGGTCTTTAGAGCTTCCTAAAATGTATCTGATAAGGGCTGTCTGCAGTCATGTCATGTGGGATATCTGAAATGTCTCTACTATGAAGCCATAAGAGAGCTGTTATTTCCTATTAGTTTTCACTTTCCAAAGGATTTGGTTACATCTCTATGCTGTCGAACATGGACGGGATTTCCCTTCCTATGTGGGGGTAACTAGTGCTGTGTCCAGACATCATAGCAGCGGTTAAGCTGTCTGTTTGGGTGTATTTAAAGCAGTATCTTGCCTGCAGACAAGTGCTGGCAGAGGGAGGGGTGTTGTTTTGGCAAGATTTGAACTTGACCCCACTCTAACTCGGCATCAGTCAGGATCTGCTTGCACGTTCCCTCTTTTGGGGAGTTAGAAAGAACAACAGCTCTACCATGCGTGTCTGTTAGTGACACACCTGTGATACTGACTTTTTTCCTCTCTTTCTTCCTCTTTTAAGATTGTTGGGATAATCACTCGGCACAACCTGACCCACGAATTTCTGCAGGCAAGACTGAGACAACACTATCAGAGCATTTGATGCCCCTGCCCACCCTGCCCCACTGTCGGTGGCTACCTCCCTCTTCCAAGCCTGCACACGCGCTCGCATTCCGCTTGGACCCCTCAAGGCCCAAGACTTGCCGTTTGGCTTCTCACATGCATATCAAGCCTGGGGAGCTGGAAAACACCTTGCTAGCCAGAGAATTAGAGGAGCTGCCTGGGCCCAGAGCTATTGGTTGGTCTCAGGCACTTGGTTTGACCACTTTTGATCCAGTTTTTTTCTTTTCCTGTGCCCCAGTTATCTCCTTTCGTCAACTGTCCTGACACTGTATGTTCTGCTATTTTGGTTTTTGGGTTTTTCTTTGAAGGGTTGGAAAAAGAATCCTCTATCTCCACTATGTCCTATGCAGGAAACTTCAGCATCTTTTCCCTGTCTTCCTGTATGTGTCATTTTAACTCTTCCTCCCTTGTTCCTGCAACTGTTGCCTTATTTGTCTGAGAAGGGAGTCACTGTCAGGGCTGAGAGAGGAGATATTGAAGTTTGCAGTTATCAAATAGCTGCTCTGGAGGATGCCTTTTCTCAGAAGCAGTATTATAAAATCCAGCTCTGGAAGTACACCTCTTTGCAGGTGTTCCCAGTTGTCCGTCTTTTTCCACTCTGGCTTCATTTGTTCCTAATTTCCCTCCTTCTGTCATAGGGAAATGTCCCTGCTGTGTTGTTTTTGACAGCAGCTGGCTTTTGAGAGCAGCTCAGCAAATCAGGAGTTCAGTTCAATTCCAGTTACTGTTTGAGATTATAAATATTTAATACATTTGCAGAGCATCTCAGAGAAGGGAGATCTCTTTCCCTCTTAGCTATTGTTATTATCTCCCTGTAAGAGACTCTTCTAAGGCACTTTATGGCACTTCACTTTGTCACTAACCTGACACTCCTGCATTTCTTGGCATTTGTAGGCACTTTGTCCTTGTACTGATCCAACGATGAGAGCCTGGGACACCTTTCTAGCTAGGGTTAGAGACCAGGGAACCTACATCTTCAGAGCATGATGAGGTGTTGCTTTCTGGAGGCTAATAGAACTGTTGCCCTGTCTCTGGGCTCAGTTGAATTCTCTCTGTTGAGACGAGAGCCAGTATAACTTAAAGCTGCCATACAGGAGGGATACTTAGTGACTAACAGGCAGGATTTGCTGCAGGGTGATAAGTGGGGCTGTCTGTGCTCTAAAAATGCTTGGGATAATGCTTGCAATAGCAACAGCCACATATCTAGAAGGGTAAAATCAGCACTTAGAAGCCAGTTGCAGCCAGTTCAGTGCTTTAGCAGGTACCATCCTGGCCAGCACCTGTATTGTTCCAGCAGGCACCTGCCCTCCTGAGTTTTGCATCGAGATAACCCTCAGTGGGAAGCCAGCACTGTGCCTCCAGGGGCTGCAGAGCTGATTGGCTTGATAAAGCACAGAGCATTCTCTCAGCCAAGAGACTGGGCCAAGTATCATGGGGAATGTATCCCAGAAAAGCTTCTACACAGCCTCTGAGCACTCCAGTTAACCTGTTGTCTGCCATAGATGGGAGCTGTGGCAGAGGGAATCAGACATTATTGTATTCTCTGAATTCAGAAACTCATCGGTAGTGAAGTTTTTCCTGACTAAGCCTGAAGAAGTTGTGCTCTTTTCCTACGGGTATCAAAACACTAAATCTGTTAAAACAGCCTCATTGACTGACTTTGTGGAAGCTGATTGTTCCAGGGCACTGCTCTGCAAGCTGTTGCCTGCTGAGCCCTGCTACAGATAGGCTTCTGAGGAGGTTTTGTTCTCGGGTCACCAGGTCTTGAGGTAGAGCTCTCGAAGTCTCTGGCACTCTTAGATGTTCATGGAGTCTTTGCAGTCTGGATGGTTGGTAGATGTATTCTGTGGCTGTGCTTGCAGTGAAGACAACTGAATCATGGGAAACTCTGGAATTTTGGCCAACAGATAAGAGAAAACTTGTTTTTTAAAGTGGTTCCTGGGGCCAAGTTTTAGTGTAGAATTTGTCCTTACGCAGTGCATGGCTTAGCTGGAAAGTTTGGTTTTAGCACAGCTGTTTGTAAGCACTTAGATTCTAATTTTTATTCCTCTCTGTTGACATCTGGAGGCCTTTTTTCCACTTGGTGTTGTCTCAAACCTGCTGCTGTATTAGGAGATGAAGGGCACATCTTTTGTTTTCAAGAATGCATTTATACCATTTCCACCAAGGGAAGTGAGCTGTGGTACATGCAGTGGCAGTTGTGGCAGAGGAAGCTGTGTGTGTCTGAGGACCCTTTGTTAACTATGGCCACTGAAGAGGGCTGCTTGGGAAGTGACCTATCCAAAGAGCAGGGAATGTTTGTTCTTTTCCCTTTCCTGCTGTAGAACTTGCAGCAGCAGCTCTTGTCTCCCCCACTGAAATAGCTTCGGAGGCTTGTGAATATCCTAGCTCTATTTCAAAGGAGGCATGCAAGCTCTTCAGCTTCCACAAGTAAAGTGAAGGTGTTTTCCTACAGCCACTATCCATCTTGTGCCTTCAACCTGGGCTCCTTAGCTGGGACAGGTGGGGCATGTTCCTTACAGCAGATCAGTTGGCATCAGCTACTGCTCTTTCTTGGCTTGCAAGTTCTTTCCCTGTAAGTAGAGTAAGGATGTTTGTTCTCTCCAGATAGTCTCTGCTGATGATTTCCTGATTTACCAATGTTCCCTGAGTTCTGGTCTTGTAGTGAGCTATCCCAAGAGACTTCCAGCATCCTTTAGTACTCTCTGGAGCTGGGCTGTAGGTTTGAAATACGCTTCTATTAACCTACCTTTCATTTGAAGGATTTGTGCTCATGGGCAGTTACAAATCGCAGAACTCCTGTTTTGATGGGATTTCAGCTCACACTAATGTGCTTGGGTGCTATAGGATTGCTGAATCCACATGTTCAGAATGCCCCGTGTCTCTCAGTGACAGATCTCTTTCCTCTTGCTCATGATGAGCGATTGTGTGTGGAAGGTTTCTCCTCTTCATGCACATCAATAGGGCTCCTTAGGTGGTTTGCCTTGGGCTGGTCATGTCCTGTTTTATTTGTGTACACAAGCTGCAGCAGTATATTTTGCTGGGATGTCTTGTCGTCACTACTGAGGCCTGGAGTCAGGCAATCCAGACAAGACAGGCTGAAAAACCTTGTCAAGGTTTGTCTGAGCACCAGCTGCACTTCCCCAGGAGAAGGCCACTTGCTTTCAGCCTGCTGTCAGCACTGTCTTCTCTGTGCATCTGTCTGACCCAAATGTTCCAGCTGGAAAGCACACCCTGTTCATTCCTTCCCTAAAGAAGTTTTAAATGAGGGTGGTGGGTGACCTTGTCAGTTGCTTTAAAGGGAAAACTGAGTGTGCAGTCAGTGTTCTGTAGCTTGCAGAAAGGGAATTACAAGTTCATCTGACGTTTGGAGATGCAGCGTTTCCCTTCTGCTAAGGACTGGTGCAAAGTGGCTCCCGTTGAATCAGTCTTGTTCTCACACTTTGCTCTCTTAGCTCCTTTCTTAAAACACATTCACTGCTTCTACCCTGGCTCTGGTTGCTTAGTGATGTACAAGAAACTTACTTCTAATGTTAGGTGCCTGTAACCCTTTACTCAGAGCAACACTAAAGGAATCGTACAAATAACTGGATTAGTATTGATGGCAGAAGTTAGGGGATACTATGGGGCATTCTCTGCTGCCCCATGGTTTCCTGTGCAGTGTTAACTGATGCGGTTTTGACTTGTTGACTTACTGTGAGCCATTCCAATGGTAGCAACTTTCCATTTGGTTTTGGGGTTGTTTTTTTGCACTGTTTTTTGTTATGAAATGATGTAAGCTAATTCCTTGGTGTATATAAATGGTATTTTTTTTTAAATTTGTATGAATATATTTTTATTTGAACTATGGCACTTGGGAAGTATTCATGTAACCATAACGTGTCTGAGAGTAAAACATTTGTGTGTCTCCTTCAGCACTTTCAAGGCCTTTTGATGTTTCTAGCGGTGTTTTATTTTTGCCCTTTATTCTAATAAAACTAGTAGAACATGGCAATATCCAAGAACATCATTTGAGGATGATGAGTAATTGCTATTTATGAGCTTTCTGGATCTAACAGCGTGTGCAGAAGGTGCACTGAGGCTGGGCAGAGGTAGGAATTAGTGTAATCCTTTAGGCTGTGACCACTCCAGTCCCGTGTTCTCTCACAACAGCTTGTTTCAAAGGCGGGAATAACAAATGTTTGATGAGGAGTTGAACTCTCCTGAATTGTGCAGCAACTGCTGATTTTCTTACCTGAGAAATCCAAAACTTGTAAGTGGTGGTTTGCCTTGCATTTTTCTTGGCTGGTTACCAGAAAAGCTGTGTAATACATTAATGTCTGAATTAAAACCCCTTTCTACCAAGATTTATAGACTCATTAAATCCAACCACATGTCACGATCCCCATACCTGTAAACTGTGTCTCTAGCAGAAGAATTTAGTGTTATTTGGTGAGATTTCTTTCCAGTTTTGCTTTGCTTTGGTGGGAGGATACAAGCTGCTTCCTTTAGCATATGTGCATACCTACACAGGTGTGTATCATGCAGGAAGAGCAGAGGATGGCTGTGCTGATGTGTAAGTTGAAAGAAGGAAGCTGCTGCTCTTCTTGTCCAGGGTGCTGAAGCGCTTTGCAGCAGCACTGAGGCGCACTTGGCCCCTTCAGCATCCACTGGAGCTTTTCAAATGCACCAGATGGAAAAAGCTTGTTCAGAGCTGGAATGAGATGGCAGTGAGTTCCACACAGGTTTGGAAGGTTTAGACATTGAGATCACTGTTCCAAAGTAAGCAGAATGTCCCTTTGTCCAGGCTGATTCCTAATTACAGAAATAAAGCCCGAGTTGCTGTGTGGGCTATGTATGAGTGACTCTTAAGCATCTAGGAGCAGGAGACTGGAATCCATATATACCAGTTGGAATAGATAAACACAGAAGACAATACTGTGTTGAAGAACTCATGACACAAAGACAGGACCATTCTCAGACCCTTGTTGACTCCCCTAGCAGCCCCTTGATGCTTATAATAGAGAATATCTGTGTGGTGGCTGACTTTAGACATGGATTTTTACCTTTCCTTTGCTTCCCAATTCCCACCATATCAGGCCTGACAGCACAGGGACATCTGCTGCAAGGAACGTTCTTGTTTTGTTTCAAGGTATTTCACACCTCAAAGGTGTGAGAAAAGCACCAGAAAAGATGCCACTTTCTTTATCTCTCAGCAATGCCTCTGGGCTCTTTTCTTCTTTGGTGTGAAAACTGAGACAGCTGTTGGACAACTAGGTTCCAACTGCCTAATGGGAACTGTACCTGGGTGAGCAGGTGAGAGACTTGGGGAGAGGCTGTTCTCAACACAGCAGAGTTGTCACAGGCTTTGTGCTGCATTCTGAGCTGTGACCATAGTGCAGGTGATCTCCGTCTTTGGGCATGGGGCGAGTCTGCTATTGTCTGTAGAGAGTTGCTGCTAGGATCACTGGGACACCCTTATCAAGCAGATGTCAATCAGCAAAGGCCTTTGGGGGCCAAGCTTTAGTGATATTAAATCAAGCAAGCTGGATATGATTGGATTGTTATGTGCAATGGCACAGCTCCACACTTCCCTGCAGCAGCAGAGGATCCTTCCCATGCGATTTCCTAGAGGAGCAAAGCAGTGGTGACAGCTCTTCTTGCCTGCAGACTGGGATTTAGTGAAACTCTTCATCTAGTGGGAACCTGGAAAGGGCTAGTGCAGTGTGTGAGGGGTGGAAGAAACCCTCAAATCTAATTTGCAATAAAACCCCATGCCAACCACACCACTTTCGTGAGTGAGGCTCCTGCCTTACAGCGTGCAAGAGGCGTAGGAGGCATGTTGGTGTCATTACTGTGTTCCAGAGATCAAAGGAAGGGAAGCTGCTGAATTATGCGCTGCCAGCCAGGGTTAGTGCCAGGAGCTATGAAGAAGCAAGTATGAAGTCTGGCATGGCAGGAGGTGGCGAATATCATTAGAGCTGGGTGGTGGAGGGTGTTACCCTGGTCCTTCTCTGATCCCACTGGGATATTTCTTCCTTTGCACAAAGGACCATGATAGCACTTGAATGCATCTCAGGTGCTGTGTTGTTGGGGGATGATTAATGTATAAAGGACGCTGCCTGATGGGGTGGAGGAGGGCAGGATTTCAGGACCCTGCACTGCTCAGTGCTGAATAATTACTTGGAACCTAACCTGCATTAGCTGCTTTTGACATCAGCCCTTGCTTTGCGGTGATAGGGATGTTCCACAGGCATCCTGTGCTTAGACTGTTTCTGGATTGTTTGCAATTACAAGCTACACCAATTCCCTGGTTTGGGACTGACTCACAGCCTAGTTCTTAAAGCTTCCTCTGAAGCTCTTGTTTGGTTGTGTGGCTGCTACCCTTTCTCCTGCACTATTACTGATGTGTCACCGACCTTCCCTTCCCCATGTGGAAGTTTCTCTAGAAGAAGAGATGTATCTTGGATAGGTGTGAAGACTTAGTAGGAATTCATGTAGAACTGAAGATTAATGTGATCTTCAGCTCCTGCCCTCACCAGAGCCTGGTATTGCTCTTGGATTGTTTCTCCTCCAATGCAATCCCATATTTTCCTCCATAAAGTTCTATCAGGGTTAGTTTCCAAAATTTACAGGGACCAAAGGCAGGTCCACTACAAACCTGAAGGAAACTACCTGATGTGTAGACATGGGTCTATACAGAACTGCCTGCTGCTGGAAGAGAGAAGGGCCTAGGTTAGAGGAATCCCTGCATCCTTGCATGGATAGCATGTGCAACTATCCAAATCCACTGCAGTTACAGCAGCAGCAGAAGAAATAAAAGGCTGGCAGGTTAACATGGGATGACAGGACTGTCCTCTGAAGCTTCAGCCATGAACACAAGTCCAGGTTACTGCAAAGTAAGGTAGAGCATAACCCAATGTAACTGTGGTAACAAGCTTTGTGCCTCTTTTTCCCCCTGCTGTAAAGGTCAGCCTGCTGATCTTTGATGAAGAGCAGAGCTGTGGCACTTGCTGCTGATGCTGCTGGGTCACAGAGCATGTGGCTGTTCTATGAAACAGATGATAAATTAATTCACTCGCTCCCTCCAGAATCCATTGTTTCTGTACCTACAGTCTGAAATTCCTGGTCTCACTGAAAGCAAGTGTGTAGTGGAACCTTTTGTGTTTTCTGTGTGTGTCCTCTTAGCCACAGTACCCTCTTTAGAAAGAAACACAGCTCTAGAGAGACATTTAGCTTTCAGATAAGCTTTCCCCATAAGCAGTGGGCTACTTTTGTCTATATGCTTGTTTGGGACTGGCTGTTCCCAAGACTGTTCCCTGTGATCACAGCAAGAGTGGCAGCTTTGCTTGTCCTGTAGAGCCCAGCAGTGCTCACTTTTCTCTCATTCAGCTTTTCCAAGTGCTTGTTTCTGTGTGCAGTCCTATTCTGACCTGACTCTGAGATTTCCCTGGGGGAGCTTTACAGCTCAGTGTGTTTATGGGAGCAGCAGTAAAAATCCAGCCACAGAGATGCTTTTTTCCTAGATTGCCTACTCTCAATTAGGTTCTCCCAGACCCCAGGGTCTATTAACATACTGTCTGCAAGCCAATACAGACTTGTTCCACCAGGAACTGGCTTGCTCTTAATACTGGACCTACCTGGCTTTGGGTTAGGCAGCACCAACTCTTCTTGCCGTTTTTAGCGCATTCCAGTGAACTATTAGTGGTTTGTGCCTTGAGGGGCTGACAGGGAGGGACAATTTACAGTGTCTGTACAAGTTTTGCTTGACTGGGTAAAATTCAGCTCCAGCCAGGGCTGTTATTGTTAGAGTACGAGGATTGTTTTTACTTTGCTTTACAGCAGCACATGGGAAGTCAGGCTGCTGCCCATTGCAAGTGTGGAGGGATCCATCTGCACGTTCCCATCTTGCTGCAGTGGGAAACAGATGGCTGCAGGGCTTCGTTTGGAAAGCCTGTTTGAGAAGATGAAGCCCCATTATCCCCACAAAGGCTCTCCAAAGGGTGACTTCACACCACATAGATTTGTGAAACCACCTTTGAGTAAATGCAAAGTTGCTGTAGCTTTTCACTGCAGAGATGTCTCCTGGTAGCTGCTGGCAATCTTGACCTGGGAAGCAGTTTTCCTGCCAGGGAAACCTATGTGTTGCATAGAGTATTTTATCTTTGGCTGGCACTGCTGGAAGGCTGCGACGTCTGATTTGTATCACAGTAGGTGTTGATTCCCATTGGAGTGGAGCAAAACGATTCCCTCAGAGAAGCCTGTTTCCCTAGGGAAGAGTCACAGGGCCCAGCATGGCAGGGAGCACTCAGGTCCATGTCAGCAGGACAGGGAGTGACTAAGAGGGTGGCTTGTCAAAAATGTGATGCGTGACATAAGCCCTATGAAAGCAGTACAGCATGTGCAGGAGTGATGTGCCATTCAGCACTCAAACTCATGCTTTCACTGTAGCTGTGCTTCCTGAGAGCTGTTGTCAGCAACTGCCATGGCTCTGGCACATTTGCCTCACTGTAGCCTGTCTTAAGCAACTATCATTCCTCTCTCTATGTGCATATGCATAAGCAAAGTTAGAATTAGACTTCTGCAGTTGAGCCTATCCTGGAGCTATGTGTTAGGCCCTTTCTGGGATGCTCGAGTAATGGATGCTGGGGATGAGACCCAAAATCAAATGCTCAAAGTAACACCGTTTCTAGTGGAATGTGCAATCACAGGACAGTTGTGCTGAGCCTGAGCTCAATGCTGTTGCTGTGGCTGACTTGGGAATCCAGGCTATTTGGTCCTTGTGGTGCTGACCAAATGTGGTCCTGGCAATATAACCCTGTTTGGAGGGGGAAGAACGTGGAGAAGGTCTGGGGCAAATTCAGATCCTAGGTGTGAAATTTAGCCCCAAAGGCTTCAATGAAACCTCGATCAGACTTGCAGTGCTCCCATTAACCCTGTGTAGAAAAACTTTGTGGAGGGCCATTCCCAGAAAGGGATGCATGTTTTGTAGAAGCTGCTTTGTAGCTGGAGTGGTCCCACCTGCCCTCACATGAGAAATACCATGAATAGGACTCCATCGAGAGACCCTGAGGAGCAGCACCTCAGCCACATGCAGAGTGAGACAAGACACAGTTAATGATGTATCTTTGTGTGATGCTCAGAGCCTTTATTTGGTGAGTGCTAGAAAGCATATACAATGAATTCCCTTTCCTCCCTCTGGTGATCTTGAAACTTGTGGAGTGTTGTGATTTTTCTGATTTCTTTTCATGTCAATTTTGCTTCCATGTGGGATTTGTGGCATTTCCCTTGACTGAATAACCTACACCAGCAACAGGACTCTCTTGTTACTAAACCCCTGTCTATAGGAGGACTCATGTTGGTGTTTCAATGTTGAGCAAGCTTTCTTTATCTGCTAATCTGTTACAATTTCTTAGTGCAGAGGGAAAAAACTCCAGTGAAAACCTCATTTTTGTTCCTACATTCTCTGTCTAGTGTAAGACCCAGCCTTGTGGATCAGCCTTTTCAATAAAACATAGGCTTCTGACTTTAGGAAAATACAAGACATTTTAATGCAACAGACAGGAGAGAGGTCCAGCAGAGATGTCTAACGTGTTAGTTTTATTTAAAGATGATCTCTTGGTGCTAGAGTAAGAAATATTCTTTAAAAAAAAAACAAACCAACCATCAAATAAATAAATAAATAAATAAATAGAAATAGGAATCACTTTCTGTTGAAGAGTTTAGAAAGCATCCGGCTTTCGTCTGGGGAGGAACAGGTACTGTAAAGCATTCTTCAGAGTAGGGCATAGGGAGGTTGTCTTAATTCTTTCTGGAACCTGCAAGCCAAACATGAAACAAGTGTTACTAGGACTTGTTTCCTTCTCAGTATATGCGCCGTTTTCAGCAGTGCCTTTACCTACTGAATCAATAGACACATTTTTTCCTTTGAAAAATCAATGCTAGCTTAAGTATTAGGCTAAAATTAATTCCTTTCTGAAGCTGTGACTTATTAAAGGCTTAAAAGAAAACCTGCTCTTCCCTTGTCACAAGTAACAGATGCAATCTGTTCTGTTCAGAGAAATGGCTTAGATGGGACTCACCATTGCAACCCATTCCACTCAGGGAGCCGATCCTATCAATCCTCCTCCCGAAGCAGCCAGAATCTCTCATCATCCTGGGCATCTGCAGCCCCCTCAGTCTCTTGAGGAAGGGGTCCCTGTAGGACAGAGGGGTGCTGGGTGCTAGCCTGGGTTCAGCCTTCTGGTCATCACTGTCATCCATGAGTTCTGGTGGGACCTCCTCCTGGTTTTTGGGTTCTTGCAGGTCAGGATTGGACTCCAGGGCTTCAATCATTGCAAATTTATCCTCCAGTTTCTCCAGCAGAGCCTACAATAGAAGGATTAATTTCATAAAATTCTTTGTTTTGTGGTAATTTCCTAACTCTTCCTGTCATCCAGTGCTGCATTCATCAATGGTCCCATAGCCAGCTCTAGGAGACTATCAGGTTGGATCCCAGGGTTGCTGGTGGTACTTGAGCTCTGTCCTCTGCAGTAAATCCCTGTCCACATTAATTCCACCTATTTGTAGCTTGCCACCGAAGTGTATCTTATTGGCAAGGTTAGAAGAGCTCTTGGCAGAGAAAAAGAGCATGATCTAAGTTGCACAGGGAGATACTACTCAGCCCACTAATAGTACTCTATCTCAGAGTACCTCTGAATCCACAGTCTCCTCCCGTGTTCTCAAGTTGCCTGCAATGCTACTTGCAAGCAATTGGCTTTCTCCTTTTTTGGCTAAGACCATCTCCTTGCTTGTCACCCCTGGCAATTTCAATGGACATCATTTGGAGAAACTGTTGGTGTTATCACTAATCTCTGCCCCAGGAGTTAGAGGATTGCTGCTTCTTAAAGTAACATGAAAATGCCTGTATGCTAAATTCAGGTCTGCTGTGTGACTGCTTCCTGGGTACCATTCTCTATAATTTTTAAAGCTTTGTGTAATAAGGATCAGCTCAACGAATTAGAGGAGTAGAACTGTCCATCTCTAGAAGTAGAGTAGAGAGAAGTGAGCCTTACAGTGAATTTGGAAGCCACTCTTGGATAGCTGCTGGAATCAGCCTAGAGGCTGGGGATGTTTTAGCTTTGGCTGGCACTGTCCTGATCATCTTGTGTAGTTTTTTCTCAGGGTCTGATGCTGTAAGGAGCTGGTCACTGATGCAGCCCAAGGAAAGGTTTGAGCTTTCAGGTTTCATCTTGCAAGACTGAACCTAGAGCTTGTATTGTGCTGCCGCAATGGATGTTCTCTATCGGTCATTAAAATACACAGCTGGTAATTTCATAGCTCTAGAAGCTTTCCAGCTGAGCCACACTAAATGATCATACTGTTCCTCTAGCAGCTTCTCTAAATGTTTGGCTTTGGGTGCTCCACTTTACCTCCTCATCTCCCATTCATATGCAGTCAGTTCTCTTAAACCTGCGTAGCTAGAGCCGTATGGCTGTCCTGCTTCACTGTCCCTGACATTTAGTGGGACAAACAGGAGCCTTCCTGAACATTTTCTGTTTGTTCTTATGCAGATGCTGTGATGCTTTTTTCCCTCTCTGGGAATTTACTCCCAGGAAGGTGGATCTTTAAGAGAAAAAGAACCAAAGAGCCAAAGCAGACATCACAACATCACAATTTTGTTTCTTACTGCTATCCAGGAGCTCAAGTGAAGCTATTGCTCTGCAGAGCTTCTTTCAACCCCTCTGAAGAACTGAGACTTTGTCTCCTAGCATGTGATTGCTGATGCAGCTATCTGATTGTGCAAAAGAAAGGCAAAACCACCACCTCACACTCTGCTAAGCACCCTGGACATTTAACCTTGCAAAAGGAGAGAGTCCTCACCTCCATGCTGGCCAGTTCTTTGGCAGGGCTGAGGCTGTAGATAGGGTTGGCTCTTCCAAGCTGGAGTTGGATGAGCAGCAGCAAGAAGAAGCCACAGGAAAATGAGCCTTTAGTGTCCATGGTGCTGGCTTTGTTGGGAATAGGGAAGTTCAAGCTGTTTCTTCTGAGATGTCTCTTCAGGTCTCTCTCTTCCTCGTCCTATCCGCTCTCTTCCGAAGCTTGTCTTTTATACTCTTTGGGTGTGATCTCTGCTTCCTAGGTTATCAGTGGATTTATCTGGGGCACATTCCAGTCCCATTGCAGGCATGCAGCTCTGTCAAGGGAAGATTCCCTTTATTAGCTGTCATTAGGCAGCAGCTGCTGTTGCTGAGGAATGTATGTCACAAGTCAGTGATTTCATGTCACTCCCCCTCCTCTTGATACCAGGCGCTGTGATTACATAGTCCAGTTGGAAATTCTTAGCAATTTTCTTTCAAGAGACCCCTATGGTCAGATTTACAGAGATGGGAAACAAACCTGAAACTGCTCTAAACTCCACTCATTTAGAAGCTTTCCATAGGGAAATTACCTTTTATAGGGAAAATGAAAGGCTTTACAGATGAGTATTTGGTCGTGAGTAAAGGCTGAAGATAAATCTACTTTTAGGACACCTAAAGTACCGTGCACATTTTCCTTCTATATATGGAATCTGCGCAGCCACTGCATGCCACGGAGTATGCTGAAAATCTCAGGTTTGGGTCACTTCTCTTTTCTCATTGCTATTGGGGTGATATCATCGTTGAGACTTTGCATGTTACAACAGCAGAAGCACTTCGATCTGCACTTCAATCCAGACGATAACTTCTAGACTGACTCTGCAGGACACCGAATACCTCTAGCCCCCTGCGGGAACTGGCTCCGGCAGCACTGAAAACCACTAGTCTTTATTAAACATTCAAATCCATGGGATTTCTTTACACTTCGATGGTAAGGCTTGACCTGACAGCAATAAAAATTAAAGAAGAGATGCTCAGATTCAGGAATAATCTTCTTGTGCCATCATACAAGATGCATCATACAACTTGCTCGCCGAGAACTTTAGCTAGATGGCTTTTGGTGTTTCTCAGCAAAGGTATTGGAGTCTGGCCCCAAGGGAGAGTGAATGGATTTGTGTGTATGTGCGTTCTGGGAAGGGTTAAACTGAAATGTTTAGTTTAATATATTAAAACCAAAGAGTATTTAGTTGTTTGCTTGAGAACTGGAGTTTTCAAGTTTAGCTAAAAGCTGCTATTGCTTAAATGAGAAATCGCAGAAATGCTGCTTTGCTTCAAGTTCGTCTTCCAGCGTTTCTTTGTGCATATAGTGCAACTAAAATCTCATCTTCTTTACAGAACTGCAGAACTCTAAATCATGAAGCATACTGCTTATCCTTCATTTTCCTAATGTTACTTCTTATTCTAAACTGAAACAAGAATGACTATATGAGCAAGTTGAATATGTCAGTCTTGCAATAAATTTTTTCTTGTAATAAAATCATATAAAAGTCAAAAAACCTGACTTCTAATACGACTGATCTTGAAAGAATCTCCTGAGTACAGTTTCTAAGTAACAAGAGAACGATAAAATATTTCTCATGTCTTAAATGTGCTAACATGCTGTTTGTGCACGAACATGTGCACACCGTTCACATGATCAGCTACCAAAATTATACTAGAAAGGACATTCTCAAGGTTGTGAAGTCAAGCTCAAATGCTACTTTTCCCTAATACAGCTTCAAGTCAGCCCAACTCTGATGAATTCTGATGAACTCCTTTATTACAAGAGCAATCCCTATTTTTCCCCATGCTTTCTTTTGCAGTACATGGAGGCAGTACTCGGGTTTTATTATGTAACCTAACACATTCTTATTCTATGCTATTAAGAAAGGATAGCTTATTTTTAGTTTGTAATTAACACTCCCTAGTGCAGTGTGTGTATAATTCACTAATCAGTTATGAATACGCTCTTACAGCTGCTCTTGGGTGTGTGTGTTTGTGTGTGCCAGGGAGTAACTTTGGTAAACCGAGAAAGCATTAGAAGACGAACCAGAATTATTCAGTAATACTGAGTATCCAAATTAAGGTAACTTGATTTGATTTATTTATTTCTTATTTTCTTTTCTTTCACACCCCACCTGCTGTGTGAAAACACTCTGCTGCTTGTCGTTTTGCCCCAGAGCTCGCCACATCTGTACAGCAACCCCTGGAGCACAAACCCAGCAGCAAAGAACCAAGGAACACACTATCAGTCATAGGTGTGAAGTATTTAGCTTCGAGTGCCGTGTCCCTGTGAAACAATCTAATATTCCAGGATTGTATTCAATAACCTGCAGCCAGAGATATTCCTTTTTTTTTCCCCCTGCTTTGTTCCTTTTCCATCTTCTGTATTACACAGCAGATAAATGAGATGTAGCGGCCTGACTTAAACCGTGACAACACTTTTCTAAGGCAGGAAGATTTCTGTGTACTGTTTCATGTTCTTTTTGTGGAAGTATGTGGATGGCATAAAAGGGCTGACCATCACAGTTTTTGCATTTTCAAAGCCAGATTCTGCCCTCTATTACCCATTGCACAGTCCTACCAAAGCAAATGGAGTGTAAAACATCAGAACTCAACTCATCATTGTTGGAGCTATTAAGCTCACTTGTTTCTTTGCCTGCAGTATCTTAGTATCATCACCTTGGCAAGATTAATGTGGACTTCAGGTGTTATAGCCTGGCAGTGAATAGTCATGACCCAGCATTGCCTGTGCTCAGCTGGCTGTCAGTCTGGAAAAGCCTTTGTTGGGAGTCTTACCAGGACAGCAAGTTGTTAGAAAAAGCACTCTGTGGCTTGTTTTAGGGCTGGAAAATCGGCACATTTCCCCAGTAACACCCCAGGTTAGGGGATAAGAGATGCAGTGACATGAGGCTCCATTAGAAAGCAGCCTCGGTTGCTCAGAGCAGAGAGGGAGACCATCAAGGGTGCTGCTAGCAGCCCCATGTGCTCCCTGTGGGAAGGAGGGTGGCCCATGGAGGGAGCTCAGCCCCTTCCCCAGCAGGATGGGCAGATGCCCTTGGTTTTCAGCCCTGTATGGCTGCAGACTCTAAGCCTCAGGGCTGGTGGATTCCTTCTGCGGGTAGATCTGATGCCCCCTTCCACTGCACGTCCTTCCAGGGGCGTCCATTCTACTGCCGTTTTACAGCTGACAAGTGCTAGTGCTGATTGCAAAGAGCCTTTGTAGTCCAGTTCTGAGGAGGAGGCTGGGCTTGGATTCCTTTCATCTCCCGGTGACTAAACCCTTTGCCAAGACTATGCCATACCCCACCCAAGCTCTCTTGCCCTGCCTTGCAATTCAGTTTGATTACGAAGGAAATGAAGAGATGAGCATAGGAAACGAAAGAGAAATGTAATAACGCCTGGTGCAGGGCATGCAGCACCGAGATCACAGGGCAGGCCGTACTGCAATTAAGATAGTTAAGTGATGCCTCACTTTTTCCATAGGGGAAGAAACTTTAATCGCAGACATGGATTGTTTCTGCCGCTGATCGGGATGCATTACTTCTGCGATGTGCTGCCCCTTCCTTTGCAGGCAGCACAGGCCTTTCCTCCCGCAGTTCCTCTGCAGCAGACTGGCAAAGCCTCCAGCCTTTATGTCTGCTTGGGGCGCCCTGCGCATCGTTCACAGCCTTGTCTTGGGAGGGGTGTGCGAGAAACCCGGGCTGGGGAGCGAGGGGGCTGCGCTGAGTCGGGGCGGCGGGATGGGACCCGTCGGGAGTGCGGCGGGGCCGGCTGGCGTCTGTCCCGGGTGCTGAACGCGCCCGCCCGCGGCCGCAGCCGCTCCGCGACCGCTGCAAGTGTGTTTCTAAAGCGCTGTAGCCCTTCCGTCCTCAGGGGCACCCACGGCCAAACCTGGCCCGCGGGACAGGGCCGAGTGTAGGACATCACCTGGAATTAACCCCGAGTCCGATGCCCACCTCCTGGGAGGATTCGCAGCTACTGGGTGGTGAAGCTGTTGGGAAAGGCATCCCGGTCTGGCTCCAGAGCTGGCATAGGGGCCTGGCAGGACCTCTTCAGTGAGGCGTGAGGGGCACTGGACTGATCATTGCCCTGGCAGCATGCAACCACCATCCTTCCTGCTGCTGCAGCCCTCGGCAATGGCTTGTCCAGACCGAGTGGGATGCTCTGACCGGGGTCGTGATTGAGCCTCAGAGCAGAGGGAGAGGAGCGCTCCGGGGGGGGTGTGGGGGGGTGTGTGTCTGTATCTTCTGATCGTGTAACCCCCAAAAACTCACTCAGAAAAGACAAAGCAGGCTTTGTACAAAAGTTTAATGCCCCACACCCCACCGTGGCAGAGGCTCCAGGGATAGCCTGGCTGGCTGGCTGCTGGACACCGGCATGGAAGCGCCTGAGAGCCGGCCCTGGTTTCAGCTTCTCCCTCTCCTCCAGAAACCTGGGAGAGAAGAGCGGAGAGCTGCGGGGGAGCCGCTCCGAGGCTTTCAGCCGGGGACAGCGGCCTCTCAGCGGCTGCCCCGGCTGCCCCCGCTCCGGCGGTCAGGGCCGAGCTCCGGCCTCCCCCCGTTCCCTGCGCCGCGGGGACCTACGGGCTTTGTACTGGTTGCATCCCAGCCCCGTCTGCGCGCCGATCCTCTCCATCCTCGTCCCAAAGCAGCCGGAGAAGTGCCTCCGTCTGTAGGAGGAGAGGAGACTCCTCCACTGGCTCTGCCACCCCTCTGCCGGCAGTGGGGTCCCCGGCGGGCCGCCCTCCGGCCCCGAGAGCTCCCACTCGGAGCCGCCGTCCTCAGCCCCGGTGGCCGACTCGTCCTCCGGGCCCGATTCCCCTTCCTCCTCCCGGAGCTGCCCCAGCGCCTCCAGGAGGTCCTGGCGAGGGAAGGAAAAGGGAGGGGAGAAGGGAAGGTGGTGGAGGGGCGCTGAGAGCCCCGCTCCCGCCCGCTTCGCCCAGCCAGAACGGGTGCGATGATCGCTCCGGGAGCCCCGGCCCAGGTACCTGCAGGGACCGCAGCTCCGCGCCGTGCTCGCCACCGGCCGGCTGCGTTCCGGCCCACGGTAGGACGAGCAGTAGCAGCGAGGCCCCGCAGCAGAGAGCCGGGAGATGCATCCTATCCTATATCGTATCCTATCCTATGCCAGCTTGGCACCGTGTCGCTGCTTTGCCCATGGATCCCTCTCCTTATATCCCCACTCTCTGCCCGGAGGGAGC